GAAAGCGCTTCAGAGCGTCGTCAGCCACCCTCACCGCTTGGGATGCAGGGTGCCCAGCAGGTAAAGCCCTGTGCACCAAGTTACTATGATGCTCTGCCTTTTCTGTTGTGTCAGTATTTGCACGGTTGGTGCAAAAGCACCACAGGGTGGAATGCGCCACCCCAGCAGAGACCGTGGCCAGGTGAGTGACGGCGGTGTCCTTCACACCATGCCCTCATGGTGGAGGAATGAGAGTGTGACTTAAGTGTGCCCTCGGTGAAAGGGTGAAAATGATTCATTTCATTAAAGCTGCATCCAGGAGCACCGGTCTTCCAGCAAAGTGGAAACACACCGCGCTCTTGCTGCACACGGGCTGTCTCTGCTGTCACCGCCCTTGAGCGCGACGGCCACCTTCTCACAGACACCATTTGTACTTGAAGGAATGACTAACGGGCGCGCTGTGGGCCCTGGCGAGCCACCAGGCTGAGTTCACAGATGACGCGAGCGAGCCTGCTCCTTCCAGCCGGCCACGTTTGTTGCCAACGATAAAACTTGAGCTTTGGAGCAACGTTCGAATTTTGGCAAACTCGATCCATCACTATGACTCACAGCTTCTTGGGACTTACAAGACTGCCGAGGGGGCTGATGGTGATGACAAGTGCCTTTATATACTGGTCGGAAGGCTGTGTGGTGGGAGAGAGGTGATATTTTAGAGAAATCCTCAGAGGACCAGTATTTTCCAGGGGATTGATGGAAGTGGTTCAATTTTAAAAACGCCCTGTGTGGGTAGCAATGTCCACTCAGTGCAAACCAGACCAAGCACTCTGGCCTTAGAACAGGCCCTCCCTGGTGGCGCAGGGGTTAGCACTAGGAAGCTATCAGCAGCCACCGCAGTACTAGTTCTAACCCCAGCCCCAGAGGTGACTCACAGAGCGCAGCAGACCTCTCCTGTCTCCCCACTGCTCCCCTCAGCAGTGTGTTTCAGTCAGTCTGCCTGTGCAGCTCCCCGCTCTGTCTCTGGTGAATCCTCTCACTCCCTGCACCTCTGGCCTGTACCACAGTTCTTGTATGCACACATAAATAAACCTTAAACACACACACACACACACACACATACACACACACAGAGAACAAAATCTCCCTTGGATAAAGTTCAGACTCCAGACTGCAGAAGCCTCTTCGCAATTTGCCATTGGGTGAGTGTCCACACGGCACAGAAGCACCACCGTGACCTTGCAGGTCCCTATTTATGTGAGACCCGCTTTGCCACCAAAACAACAATCCCCAAAGGTGAGGAAGGAGCAGGTGTAAGAAGTCAGCCGTCCTCTCCCAAGAAGCTGGGCGTGAACATGAGTTGGGCAAAAATGGTGAAACAACCTGCCCTTGTGCAAGTCTGTTTCGGCAAAGACGGTGCTTTTTCACAAAACATCGTTTTGCTTGTGGGTTACTATTTCTAGTTGAAAGTACATGAAGGTTTAGACATGTTCTCAGTTTTAAGTTCTAAGATGGTAGACACCATGTGATCTGGACCACACAAACCAGTTCGTGTCGCTGCTCGAGTGGAGAGTGGTCCTGAGACCAGCAAGTTTGAGAAACGCAGTCTGAAGAAAATCATCAGATTGACAAGCACAGATTGTGGTGTTAGATAATGCTAATGTATATTTGCCATTCTAGAATGGCAAAAAAATGAAAAGAAAAAAGTGGAAACAGCTAAATGTCTAATAACAGGGAAATGGCTAAATAAACGATGCGCCTCCATTTGGTAGAACATTATGTACTCATTAAAAATTATGTTTTCAAAGAGTATTTATTGTTATGGGGAAATGTTCAACACACTCGACGTGCCATTAAGTGATTAAAAAAGGGAAGAAGTGAATTTTCATTATCGTCATTTCTGTAACGTCTTGATTCTCTGAGAAATCAATGAAACTGAAGGACCTGGGGAAACCAAGACACCCCAAAGGCTCCCACAGCTACAAGCTCATCACACGCGGGGGCCCCGGCTGAGTGTACCCTTAGGATGACACGCTTCTTCCTTAAACCACCATTCAGGGTCCCTGCCTTTAGGCTCCCGGCGAGCACAGAATCCTAAACCACACACTCCCAGACTCATCCCCCCAAGAAACAAAGGAAACTTCTAGACCCCTACTCTCCCCAAACTTGATTATTTTCATTGCTGTGATGTTGCAACTACAGGTTGATATTTTGGGTGTTTGCTTCAGTTTCGTATCTTCTCACATGCTGGAAAATTCTAGTTTCCACCAGCCCCAGAGGCTGTGGGTGACAGGGGGACGCTGTCTTTGGGGGCTTTTGCATTTCCCCACTGCAGGGACGCTGGTTGTTAGCAAGTGTCGGCCAACATGTGCCGCTGACTGTTGTCCTCATTATGGGCACATAAATCCCTTTTCATGGCCTACCCTCCTCTGCCCACATCTGTCTGCAATTTCCTCACGGCCTGCTGTGGCTGGGGAGGAAGCAGCTCATTTACGACTGTAGGCTGCCAGGCGGCCGGCTCGGGTGGCCGCCAACGTCCATCCCACTATTTGTCGGGACGCTGCCACCTTGAGTTGGAGGGAGTGAGGGGGTCTCAAGTGTGGACCACCCCTCGGGGACCAAGGGGCCGGCCCGGCCGCCTCTCAGCTGACAATCATTGAGTGCTTGCTCGAGTGGCACTAGGCATGGGGCCAGGCGCTTCCCTTCTCATTTATCTCACAACTATGAAACAGTTGCTATCATTTGCCCCAATTTTAAACAGAACAGGCTTGCTGTTGCCTTCAGCAAGGGAGCTGAGGTTCAGCAAGGTTGAGGAGTGGCCCATGGTCTCACAGCTCGTAAGCAGCAGAGCTGGGATTTAAGCCCAACCTGACTGCTCCAGGGCTTGCTGGCTCACTGCTGGCCTGTGGCCTCTTTCGGCCAGGCAGACTTCACCTGCCGCGGCCACACCCAGAGGGGTGGGGAGATGTAGTGGGAAGAGCTGCCATCTCTGCAGCTGACCAGCTCTGCGACCTCGCCACGCTGCGGGGCCTCCTCTGGGCTGTGGAGGGGGTGGGGCTGCCGCTCAAACAGTGCTGGAACCACCGGGCGGGGCCGAAGTCTGCCTTGAACGAACACCCACACTGCGATTCTGGCTCCTGTAAGGGCAGGCCCCAGGGACGGGTGTCTGGGACCCCGGGGAGAGCGCTGGCCACGGCCGTGCAGGGTGGAGCCGGAAGAAATAGCTGCACAGTGCTGCGCCCCGAAAAACAGGCAGGCGGCGGGGAGGTGGCCGCCACGTCTCCCCAGCTGCAACGAGCCCCTCTTTCCCAGACATCATCTCACTGGCAGCGCCTCACTGTCCCGTCCCTCAGGTCGGGAAACTGAGGGGCGGGCGTGGGCCCAGCACCGGGGAGTGGGTTTTCTCCTCACTTCCCAGCAAACACGGTGGGAGGGTTTTCTGACTGAGAATGTGGCAGGCAGGGCTGGTCCCTGGGACAGATGCTGGCAATGGTGGTTGAGGCATCATTTGGCTACTTCCTCAGGCAGCACTGACGGGTGCCGGAAGGTTCCACAGGCTCAGGAAGCCTAATGAGACCTGAGGACCTCAGCCGGCACTGGCCAGGTGGCTCCTGGGAGCCTCCTGATATTGGGGTGTTCCTCCTGCCTGAGGTGGGGGTGCTAGGAGGCCCCTGGGAAGCAGGGGTGCAGGGGGCTGGCAGAGGGCTGCCAGGCTGCTGGAGGCAGCGTGGCGAAGCGTGAGGGGGCTTGGCATGGGCAAGGGTCAGCGGGACCGTGACCCTTGCCCACTGCGGCTTAGAGACCCCAGGACTCAGTCTGAGGGGCCCCGCTAGGAACAAACCCCAACAGGAAAGGGATACCTGCCTAGAGGAGCAACACGCGCCGCTGAGGACTCAGGTGAGGGCTCGGCTTGCCCAGGGTTCCTGGTGGGCAGTGAGCAGGGTGCTGGGCAGATGCCCGCTCAGCTCTGCTGCCCACATGGCACCTCACACCAGGGAAGTCACCACAATGGGGTCGACTGACTGTCCAGCCAAATGCACCCCCGGGTATACCCCTAGTTAGACTTGGAACCGGGACACGGGTGTCCAGCTAACTGTTGTCCAGCACTCCTGCCATCAGGAGGATTGAGCTCTGGCCACATGATCAAGCCCTGGCCTGGGGTTTCTGCGTCCCCCCTGGGTCTCTCCCAGGCCAAGAGGAGCAGACACCCGTCAGCCCGAAATACTCCCTGGGGGCTGGTTATGGACAGGACAAGAGCACCCCTTAAGTCATGCTTTCTGGCGGCCCAAAGTCGCGGTAACGTTTTGTCAGTTTAGCTTCAAAAATGAAGTTTTCAAAGCGTGTTGATGGTCCTAATAAACGGATGCCACATTTTATTGCCTCACAGAGGGCTCAGGTGAATCAAGACAGGCCCCCAAGGCTCCCCCGCCACCCCGTTCCATGTGTCATGCCGAGTTCCCAGGCCCTGCTAGATGACGACCTGTCGCCCTTTCAGATAACCTTTGCGATTCTCAGCCCCACACAGTGAGGCCAGGTGGAGCCCAGGGGAACCGGTCACGCCAGTGGCCAACGTCACCCAGAAGCACGACAGACTGACCGCAGGTGATGATGAGTCCGTGGTCGCCTCAGGAAGAGACCGTGCGGGCAGGACACCCCCTCGCCCAGCTCCTTCCCGCGGCCCGGGCTGGGCACTGCGCTTCTAAGTGGGAGGTCCTCACGCCTCCCCGGGGTCCACCGTGGCCAGGGGGTACAAAGGGGGGCCGCGTGCCCCGGCAGAGAAGGCCGCACACCCACGGGGTCCCAGAGGGCAGACACCAACGGCAGCGTGGGGGCGGGGCCGGCTCGGTCAGCGTCCAGGTCAGCAACCTCCGCGACAGGAGGGACCAGCACCAGGGCCCCGCCCTGCCAGGCCCCTAAATCCAGCCCCGTAGGGACCGAGCGCCGCTCTGGGAGCCCCCCGCCCCTCTGTGGGTGCCACAGACCCACTGAGCTGGGCCCTGACCCCGCTGCTGTCACGCGCCACTCACCCTGCAAAGCTTCTTTGGCTCTGGCTAGCTCCTGCTCCTTCTGGGCCAGCTGGACCCTGAGCTCGGTGGCCGAGAGGATCTCGGAGGACTTGCCACCCTGCGACTCCTCCAGGTCCTTCGTCAGCATCTCCTTCATCTGCCGGAGCAGGTGCACCTCCTCCTGGAGCCGGGAGACCTCTTCCCGCAGGAGCACTGGGGGAGAAGGCACGCGTTAGAGGAGGGACGCTGGCGGCTCGCTCGCGCTTCGGGGGAGCTGTGGGGGGCTGATCCTGCTAGCTCTACACCGAGAGCCTTTACTGCGCGTGTGCAGGGAAGAGGCCCCCCAAGACCCCACTTTATCAGAAGAGCCCCAGCCCCGGCCCTGGGTCACACCCAGGCTGCAGCACAACCAGGGGCCCCTCCACTGACTGCCCGCACTCTCTCTGGGGCTCCCAGCACCGGGATGGTCCACTCAGCGGTGACTGGGCCCCCCCAAAGGGCAGGACAAGACGGGGAAGGAGGGCTGGCAGGAGGCGGTGCTGCAACAGGAGCCTGCCACAGGCCCGTCAGCTCTGCCGGCACCATCTCACTGGGTCCCGCCACGCTTATCCCACTTCACAGATGAGGAAGCCGTGGCTCGGGAGGCGAAGTGACTCCTGGTGCTTCAGGTCGGCAGGCAGCAGCACTGGGTCGAGACGCCCCACCGGGCCGACCCCAGCGCCCGTCTCCCGGCCGCACACGTGGGAAGAGCCCGAGAAGGCACCCTCAGCACTGCTCACAGAACACAGTCTAGAGGGGCTGTTGTGGACACGGGGGTCACACTTACACCTGGATGTTCAGGAGAACGGGGTCCCAGAACAGCAGCGGGACCACAGGCAAAGGTTTCTGTAACACCCAAACCCGACCCTTGAACGCCGAGTCCCAGGGATGAGGCCAAGAGCACCGAGCCCCTCAGCCCGGGGGCCCCTGGAAGGGCCCCAGAGGGTACATTCTCGGTCCTGCAGGCTGGCTGACAGCCACAGGCCTGCTCGGCCAGGCAGCCGCAGATGGGGTGACACAGGGGTGCCTGCAGTGGGCGGCAGAGCAGACCTCGGTGCTGATCCTCAGGAGAGCACATGCAAGGCTGGGACATGCACGTGTCACTGTCTGTGGCCCACTGGGCACAGGTCGCTGAGGCCAGCAAATGACCCCCTCCACCTCCGCCCCGCCCCCAGCAAGAGATGACGGGTTGACCCCCTCACGCACAGACTGGGACTGTCCACGTCTCTTAGCAAAACTGCAAAGGAGGAGGCTTACTTTGGGGTCCCTTTCCCCTGCTGTCACTGCAGGCAAACACTTCGGGCCCACACTGCGGGTCAAGTTCAGGGGTACAGAAAGGAGAAGGGTCCCAGAAAGTCTCCAGTGAACAGAAGCAGCACACAAGCAGACAACACAATGGTGGGGGGAGGGTGCATCTCCTCGGACATTTGCGATGGTCTTGGAAGATGGGAGCCCTGGGAGGCGGGAGGCAGCGAGGAGGAACAGCAGGAGCTCCCAGGGTGACCAGTGATGGGGATGAGGGATCAGATTATAAAAGGTCTTAACCTCGGCCCCTCTGTGCTTCAGACCTGACTCGCAAGGGCATGGCTTTCATCTTTGCTCTCTGCCCTACACTGAGTGTTTGCACCCTCGCCCCCTTAATTTAAAAAAAAAAAAATAGTTTATTTTTACATCACTTTGTGCCTTTTTCCATCTCAGTTGTAATCCCCTTGGGCTTCCCATCACCAAATCACCCGTGTGCCATCACCATAGTCCCGTGCATTTCCCTCCCCCACTGTTCTTGATCCCATTCCCCACTCCACCCCAATTAAATGTCTCTGGTCTAGAGCTGTTCAATATTATTATTTTCTCGCCGGGTCCATTAAACTCTTGCTATGAGCGAAACCATCCGGTATTTTTCCTTTTCTTTCTGGCTTATCTCACTAAGCATGATCCCTTCCAGCTCCATCCATGTTGCTGCAAAAGGCATGTTTCTTTTTTTTGGTTGCTGAGTAATATTCCATTGTGTATAGGTACCACATCTTTCTAATCCAGTCATCTACTTTTGGGCATTTGGGCTGTTTCTATGTCTTTCCGATTGTAAATAAAGCAGCAATCAACATGGGCCTCACCCCCTCAACTTGTGTGTTGAAACCAATCCCCAGCATGACAGTATTTGGTGGGGAGGCCTTTGGGAGGAGATATGGTCACAGAGGTGGAGTCCTCATGAATAGAATTAGCGCTTAGTAAAGGAGACCCCAGAGAGCTGTCCCGCCTCTTCCTCCACATGGGACAGAGAGAGGACATGAAACGATGTAGCAGGAGAGTCCCCAACAGGTACCAGATCTTGGGGCACCTTGACCTTGGCCCTCCAGCCTCCAGAACTGTGGGTTTTTTGTCCACGTCACCAGGCTATGCTGTTTCCTTTCTGCAGTCCCGATGGACCAAGACACTTCCTGTCTCTGTTCACTCCGACCACCTGTCCTGCCGGGACCCCTCCCCACTCACCTGCACGGGAAGTCTGTTGCACAGTAAAGTGTGAGAGGCTGCGAACCAACGACTCCCCATTTCTATTTCTATTACATGCAGGTGGAAGACAGTTTGTTTAGGTTTGGTTTTTTCTTTACGGGTATGCCTCCTGGGCTTGCTCAAACTGCCAAGAGGCAGTCACTGAAGTTGTTTACTATGTCTACACAGAAGACAGGATTCCGAGACACGTGGCTTCAAATGTAGCCAGGTCAGACACTGCCGTGACCTTGAGTGAGCCCCCCCATTCCTCGGGTCTCGCTGTTACATGCACAGAGAGCCAACACAGAGCCACCGATGCAGGGTTGCCAAATTTGCAAAGCCAAAGAAAATCCACATGCATAGTTAGATTTGAATTTCAGCTAAACCCAGAATGACTTTTTTCATGTAAATACGTTCCATGCAAAATCAGGGTATACTGATACCAAAAAGCTACCCATTGTTGATCCGAAACTCAAGTAACAGGATATGCTGTGTTTTATCAAGCTGCCCACTCCCATCCCACGGAGATTCTGGCACACTGAAGGGAGCCATCTCGAGAAAGGGTTTTGCCACAAAGAAGGTGCAGGCCCCAAACAGCCGGGTGTAGCCTCTCCTCCACTCCTGACGTAGGTGAAAGCCAAGAACAAGGTGGCACAGGTTGGTTAACAGTGACAAAGGTTGACAGCGCCCATGTGGCTTTTCAAACAGGTGTACCGGACACCCCAGCCCCGCCCTTGAGTTGGCCCTGAACAAGCAGGAGGGCGGGACCCCAGGTGTGGCATGGGCAGGAAACACATCTTAGAGACCAGGCTGGAAAAACGACTCTGCAAAGACAGGCTTGTCCAAGCTTCCCGACCACACCTGCCCTGGCTCACCTGATGCCACACACCCTCACCTGTCCGGGGGCAGAGGAGTGCAGCCTGGAACTACTAGAAGACTCGGGCTGTGGTAGACCAGCCTCCCCTGCAAAGTGGGGGTGATGGGGCTAAATGAGCTGTGTATAAGCCACTTAAACGTGCTCACAAGGTGAGCACTATGTGCCAGCATGCCACAGTCCCCTCCCCTAAGCCCAGAAGGGGGGGGCACCACATTTCTAGGGTCCTCCCAAGGCTGGAGCTGGAAGACGTGGCTGTCTGCCTCAGAGGGATTCTTACCTTGCTGTGTGACCTTGGGCAAGTTACTGTCTCTTTCTGAGCCCTTAGGAGAACCCACTCCTTACGAAGCTGGGGAATGTGTAAGTCCAGATGTGCCCCTGGGGCAGGGACAGGGGTCCTGACTCTACTCTGGAACTGCACTGCTCGGTGGGTCCCACCTGTCACTCGCCCGAATGGCCCATTCATTTCCCAGGCTGCACTGGTCAAAGTTCAAGTGCACACGTACAGCGAGGGCTGGACAGTGCTCATGGCACCACTCATGCTCAGGGTCCACGTTGGCTCCAGGCGGGAGAGGAGGGACATGCAATAGGGGGCTGGTGAGACCCGCAGCCTCACTGGCCAGGGGGGCCCTTAGCCAGCGGTGATGACCCAGCCCCGGGGGAAGCAGCCACCCCAAGAGCATCTCTGCCACGGAGACAAAACAGGTACCTCTTTGCCCACAGTGGGCAACCGCCTGCCCTGGGAGCTCGGACATCGCGGTGGGCTGGCTGGAAGGGCTCGGTGCCAAGAGTCCCAGGCTCAGCGCAGCTCTGGGCATGGAAGCCGGAAGTAAGTGTGGCCCGGGACACCGCCCTCCCTTGCCCCAGGGAGGCTGCTGGTTTCCAAAGGTGCGGCCCTGGGTGCAGGTTTTCTGGCAGACAGGTGAGATGGAGGAAGATTCCAGGGGCCGCTTTTCAAGGGCAAGGGGGTGGCAGACCCACTCTGAGGTGGCAAAGGCCCCCAGGGCATCCCCAGCCCTTCCCTGGTCCCTCTTCTTGGGTGTTCAAGACCAAGGCGTGCTTGGCGCTTCAATATGCCATGTCTCAGCCTGTCTGGCAACTAGGGCTGTCCACAGGGCCCAGTTCTGGAGCGGGGAGGTGAAGGTCCCTGGGCGGACTGCCCTTCGAGAGAGAGGATTTGCCCTTCCGTGACGTCTCGCCTGGAATGTGGGCCGGCAGCTGGAGCTGCAGCAGTCACCTTGTAACAAGCGGGCAGTGGGCAGATGCCAAGCAGGGAACTGCCCCTAGGCCTGCACAGCACAGTTGAGCCCTGCACCTATACCCAGTCCCAGGGCAGCGCCAGTGGGCAGCCTGGCACGGAGAGGAGCTGATGCCATGTCCCCAGGTCCAAGCCTCTCAGGGCCAGGCAGCTGCTGAAACCCGGCGGCCTCTGCGGGCTGTGCTGTGGCCGCTCAGCTGTGGAATCCAAGGAGCGGGACGAGGGGGGGGGGTGTCCACCCGGGGCAGAAGGGAGGCCACCGTGCTGGCTCTGAAAGGGCCGAGCCTGTGGCTTCTTCCAGACTGGACTTTGTGAGCTCCCAGGGCTCAGGCAGGAGAGGACTCGGGAGAGGAGGAAGTTACTTTCCATGACGTCACAGAACTTCCATCCATGACCTGCCTGACAGAGGCGCTGGGGGACGGGCGGCCTCTGAGGTCCCCAGGGGAGTGGCGGGCCTGTGGCCTCCCCAGCCAGCGGCTGGGTCAGTGAAGGCCTCCTGTAATGGCACTTTATGAGGTCAGTCTGCGCTCCGGCTCTGTGGCAGGAGACGTGCCT